AAAAAAAAAAAAAAAAAAAAAAAAAAAAAAAAAAAAAAAAGGTCTCAACTGCTATGAAAGTATCAGGAAAAAAGAGAATAAGAAAATACTGCAAATCTGACATAAATTCCACACAGATTTTTATTGGAAACATGTTATTACCAAGGATACATATATTTGAAAGACATACTTTGCTCTCAAAGAGCTGAAACACTAGAAGGGGAAAAGGGACCTAATTAACTACAGTGAAAGATAGGAAGTGAGGAGCAGAGTAGCACAGTACAGTGGAAATGTAGTGGGAGTTCAGATGAGGGAGAAACTGCTTTCTACTTGCAAATCCAGGAAGGCCCTCAGGAGGAAGTGACATCTGAAATGGACCTGATGATCCATTAATATTTGAACATGTGGAGGTTGCTAGGACTCCATTCCATTCAGAGTTAAAATTGAATGTGAAAGTTCCAGAACCCAGGTCAAAACAACAAACTCTGCAAAATTACATTTAGCTTACACTGACAACTGATCATTAAGCAGAAACAAACATTATCAAAAGATTTATAAGGAGAGTTGAAAGGATGTCATTGCCATGTTGTGCTCAGGTATGTCATGAGCCCCTGAGCTGTTGGGTCCTCATTCCAAAGGGAGAAGCGTGGAGAGGAGGCTCACAGTGTGTCCTATACAGAGAACAGAGGTGGAGTTACTTTGCATAACTGGAGTTGATAACTGAGGAGTGAAAAGGAGGGTGGCTGGAAGCAGAGACAAACAAAAAAAGGAGGGAAGACAAGCGGGATGGAGAAAAGAGTAGGAAGTGTGGACACAATGAACTCACCAGCACTTCCAAAACCAAAATGCAAGACCTGCCAGAAGAGCCAGAAGCAGTATCACTGCCAAGAAAATCAAGCCCATGGAGCTGTGACGTTCTGTGGATTTGGGTGGACACCAAGGATGCTGTTTTAAATTCACCCCCAGTTTTGCCCCACAGAAAAATCAGGCAAGGATCTTAAAAAAGATTTAGAGGTTCAGATCTCCACATGAGATCACATAAACCCATCTTTTTCAATTCTGAGAGGCATCTTCTTATCTTAAATTTGAAGGGGATGATAGAAAAATATAATTTTAGAATAGAAAATTCTTGGGGAGAGAGTACAGAACTGACCTTGTCGCTGGAGATCTGCCTTCCCTGAATCAAGAAGACCCAAGATGAAACGTGGGCAGGTGTCACTGAGTAACGTCTGTACCATTTCTGTGTAGACTTGGTCCTGATTAAGTACTTTGCAAACGAGCTGGGCACTACTTCCACCCTTTGGGGATGGCAGCCAAGAATTGTTCTGGAAGCTCAGGAAATCTGATCCTTGATAAGCTGTCCATACAAAGTCTACTGAGACCCCTCCTGGGTGCAGCTTACAGCCTGCTGTCATCTGTATCTCAAAAGGATCTGGAGAAAATGGTTATGAATTAGAGGAAAGAAGAAGAAAAAAGATAAAATAAGTGCAATCAAGAGGATAGAAGCAGAAGTGAGATGTTTGAGGGATTCAAGGGAATAGAACAAAGTTTGCTTTGATCAGAATTTCAGAGAAAAGGGAATTTGTGGGATTGGAGGTGAAGGAAAAAATGAATGACATAAGAAAGGGCAAATTATTCAAAGGATGTGATGTGAATGGTGTTGGCAAGGAAGGACTTAGTGTGAGAGTGCTGGAATAACAACCTGGGGGAATGGAATGCATGAGTTACAATGAATGTGGAGATAGAGACTGTTAAAGAGATTGAATATGGGAGAAAATCTCACTTTATAGAGTCAATCAAAGAATGAGGGGGCTGAAGATATCTGGTTCAGGGCCAAGGGAAAAGGTGGCCACAGGAGGCCTTTATGAGAAAATAATAATTTATCAATCAATAAGAGAGGAGATCATACATGTCAGAAGACTTGAAGTGTTTGAAGAATCAGGGTCTTGCTTATAGCCCCTGCTGAAAAGAGTGTTATTGCAGCTTCATGGTGGGGAAAGTGGAGTAAGATTCAGAAGAGAATGGAAACTGTTTCTGAGTGAAATAAGAAACTCATTTAGACACCCTCACATATGCACCTAGACACTCCCAACTGAGGGTTCTGAACTCACATTCAAATCGCAACCGATGAGTGTAGTCATGACATCCCTGGACAAATCTAGCTATATACAAATGCAAAAAGTTTTCAATTTTCATAAACTCCTCATTGCTAAAGTTCCCCCTGGACCAAGGCTGCCGGAAAACGATGGTTCCAGAGTTGCTGTCCCAAGTATGAGTATGAAATTCATCCAGCCATCCTGAGAGAAGATTCTGTGTCCAGGAACGGTTGTGAAAGGATGAGATCTGGGTGACATGGAAGGAGACAGGCTCCTCAAACCCTGTGGCAAAAGAACAGATAAGATGGAGAGCAAAAAGTTACTAAGAAGAGAGAATATAGATATACAAGCAACAGAGTTGAGGAACTCAGAATGTGGAGAGAAGGAGAGTCATAGTTATCCCAGAAGACATTTGCCTGCTACAGGGTCCCATGCCTTATTAACTTCCTCAATGCAGCCAAGGGACCTGGAGTCAGGGAAACTCCAAATGGAACCAGCCTGGCACTCTTACTCGGATACATGCTGGCAAAGCACCCCACAGAATCAATCAATCTCAATCTCTCTCTCTCTCAATCTCTCTCTCTCTCAATCTCTCTCTCTCTCTCTCTCACTCTCTCTCTCTCTCTCTCTCTCTCTCTCTCTACACACACACACACACACTCTCTCGTACAACTGGGCAGTTGCCAGAGTTCTTACCGTACTCACTGTGACTGCCTGGGAGAAGAACAGGCAGCAAAAGTAGCAGAAACAGCATTTTATTTGCAGATGTTATTTCTTTCTCTCAGAAACGTTGGTCTTTGATTTCTGTTTTAAACAAACCTTTCCCACACTGTCTCTATTGTGACTTCCTTCTCCAACCAATGGATAAACCTCCCCTGGCTGCAACAGGAACAAAAAATCTGCTCCTTCCCAAAGTCCTTTGTTTCCTCCTCAATTTCTCATTTCCTCTCTGACTTACTGCTTCTCACCATTTCACGAATTCCCATCTGTTCACTTTCCCCTCATTCAACTGCTATGGACAAGTCTTCTACAGCATCGAGAAGTCACTTTTCCATTTTTTTTCATTCATACAATAAAAGCATGAAACTTATTGGCTCCCAGTAAGCTTCTTAATGTTATCCTGACCCTGCTCTTTCCACTCTGCTTTTCACTCATCCTTTAGATGTCCTTCATGTAGTTTCTTACCCATCTCACCCTCAGGCCAGCACGTTCACATCTCTGACTTTTCACTGGTTTTTTAATTTGTTTTTTCAAAATAACCTATGATTGCCATGTGCAACAGTATAAACTACCACCAATTCACTGTTATCCTTAGAGAGGAACCAGTAGCCATCACACAAACCACAGGAATGTTGAAACATATAAAGAAAAACTTCCTCTGTTTGACTTTCATGTATATATATTCATTCACCACACTGTCACTTAGCACCTGCTGTGCTTATGAACATGCAGTGGTTGACAATGCAGTCACTTTATTCAAGTAGCATTTAGTCCACTTAGGGAGAAAAACACACACACCAACAACTGTAAATCTTGGTGTGCTGCATTTTATTATAAGATATCAACTCTCTGTATAAAATCAAGCCTGGCTGAAACAATACCTTCTAACATGGTGACCCTTAACTGATATTTAGCCTCTCATAACCTTGACTTCAGTAGTCCCCATGGGGTTTTGGTTCTATACTGTTGTTGTACTGTATACCCACCTAACAGAGTGCCTGGCAAGGAGTAGGTGCTTAGTGAATGTTTATTAAATAAATGAATAAGTTCAGTACATGCATCCGATTACTTTTTTAATTTTGAAGTAGATCTTCAACATAAAACATTTTTAGAACATCATAAGTTTACTTGTAACCCTAAACAGTGAAATGAGAATCTTCTACAATTCTATTTGGATAAAAACATATTTAACTAAGCACAAAATTTACATACAGTGTCCTGCTGTAAATTTCCTGTAACTTTTAACAAGAAACTAGTCAAAACTTGTGAGAAATGAAGTTATCAGAGTATTCTAAAGTCATTTCTGAGGAATTTTCTTCTAAATGTTTATTCTTGGCTTTTCCATTGTTGTCTTGTCACAAGTTAGTCACTCTTGAGCAGGCTTACCTTCCTCTTTCATGATGTTTATAACTATTAAAAGCCTCTGAAATATTTGTTTATACTTTGTAACTCTCATCTGCACAAATGTATTTGGGTTACATATTTTGTTATTTCTTGATTTACAAGAAAACAACTATCTAAAGCTAAATTACAAAAGAAAATAATTTTTGAGAAGTTAAAATTAGAATTCAGAAAGCTGGAAAAAACTTCACTTCCATACTTACAATTTGAGAAGCTGTATAATCAAAATCACGACTTGAATCCATCAGAGACCTGAAATATCAGGGAAAGGAATTAACCACAAGTCTAAGGAACAGCAGATTCCTCCATGAAGAGATGGGATGCAAACCCTTGCTACTTAGAATAGATGTCAGAAGCAATACAAGCCAGTAAGGAGAATTCAGCTAAAATTGTTAAGAAACTACTAAAGACTAGCATGAGTGTATGAAAACCCCAGGAGTCACAGACACAGAGGGAACTCACATCAGTCTCCAAGTTCTTCTTATATAGAACTTACCAGTGGTTCCTGAAGAGAACCAATGTACAGCAGATAAACCCTCTCTCATGGTGCAAGTCTGAAGTATGAGCAGCTACTTCATGGGAAACATGAGAAGTTTCAACAAGATCTTCCTCCCTTATCTTCCACCCAGAACAATGACAACAAAAAAACCTTCACCTGGTGGGGGACATGCAGAAAGCTCTGGAGCCCTTAAGAAAAAGGCAAAAACTGCAGCCTAGAGGAAGAAAAAGAATGGGAATAGACAAGAAAATATCCCAGTCCCATATTATTAGTGGTCTCAAACTACTGGGAGAAAGGCAGAGCACTTACATGGCCCCCCCAAAAAACTCAAAACCAGTCAGTTTGAGATTTGTTTGAGACTGAACCAGAACAACACCTAAAGCCGCTACTCCCTCTAGCAAGCAGGAGAGCAAACATCAAGAATCAGGAGCAGTCTACTGCAGGATGAGGGGCAAGAGCATAGAGATAGGTCCACCTTGTTGGGCCTTTAAAAAAATTACACCACCTTAAAGTGACATTACAAGTGGATTAACGTGGCAGCCTAAGATGGCGCCAGGAGAGCATAGAGATAGGTCCACCTTGTTGGGCCTTTAAAAAACTAACACCACCTTAAAGTGACATTACAAGTTGATTAACGTGGCAGCCTAAGATGGCGCCAGGAGAAAGCAGGGTGGGAGTGTCTGTGGGAACCTTGCCTTAGCCCTTATTGGCCGCACTTGTGAACACTGCATAATTGCAATAGCTAGGTATTGAGACAGGATGCATGCCCTTAACCCTTAAGCTGATTGGAGGATGTAAAAAACCTGCCTTTGCCATTTACCTTTAAAAGCAAATGCTTGTGTGTTAATAAATGGAACTGCTTGACAGAACCCCCAAGGCATCTGAGTGTCCTTTAACTGAGCTGATTTGGGGTCGGTGGTGTGCTCACCTCTCTTCATGGCTCTCTTCCCCTGTCTCCTTCAAAAGGGGACTGGAGGGAAAGAGGAATCCCAGGCCGTTCGCTCACTCACTGAAATGAAGGAGGCTAGGGCTGTACGGGTCAGCTACTGGCGGCGGACCCCACACACCTGAGGCACATCATGAAGGAAATAATAAAACTGACAGTAGGGCAGACATTAAGAAAACCTGCTGGCAAACCAGCCTCACTTTACAAAGTACAGTGCCAACATGTTCCACACCTCCAGATGCAACCTACTGCAGATTGAAATATAAAATAAGAAATAACAATACTGTTGTGAGGCAC